ATATAAAAATAAGATGACCGCTTTTAATTTATGCAACATGCAAAAAGATTTTGGCATTGCTGCCGAGTGGAATTTTTTCGCAACTTGTCATGGAAAGGGCCCTTGTGATGCTTTGGGAGGAGTATTAAAACGAAACGCTGCGAAAGCGAGTTTGCAAGACCACCATATAACAACGGCCCAAGAACTTTACTCATGGGCTATTTCTAAGCCAGATTCAAAAATACACTATCAGTTTTTTTCGGAATCCGATTACAATAAAATGGAAAGAAAATTGAAAAACCGTTATATACATGTGAACCAAATTTCGGGGACACAGTCATTCCATAGTTTTAAGCCTCAAAACGAAAAGTATATTATTGTCAAACGGTATTCATTTTCAACGGAAGAAAAATGTGTGAAATTATAATTAAAGAAAATAAATGCTTCATGTTTTACTTATTTTTCTTCGACCTCGTCATTATTTGTAGCATTTAAGTACTTCTCCCAGAATTTTGATACCAAAATTAATAATGTCAAACTGGGGCCTGTTTTAAAGCCACGAAGACTTCAATGGGGGAGGGGAGTCCAGCCACAGTATACGCTCGGTAAAAATATTTTAAAATTTTAGTAAAGTATACGAGGGGCGAGGTAGGATCTGCAATGTTTAAAAATTGGTCTACGTGGCTTATGGACAGCCTCCAGGCTGAACTGAATGTTGCACCCAGCTTGTAAGTTACTCATAGATTTCATTAGTCACAGCTGCTGTGACTCGATGGAGACGCATTGTGAACTACCTTGCGTCTTCATCGTTTCCATGCACGTGTGGTGCATATATTGCGGAACAATAATTTTTTATTTAAAAAAAATTGTATCTCCAAAACTGCTTCTTCGACATCGCTAATTTTTTGATAGGGTATGTAAAATTAAATGATCTTTCAATTAAAAATACTAAAATAAGAAGTTGTTGAAGACCCTCGCAGTGAAAATCAAGAAAAAGCATTTGTAATATATTTTTTTCCTACAAAATCAAATATCTCTGAGTGTTTCATAATTTTTCTTAAAACGACATTAAAACATCTTTAATTTGAAGGGTCAATCGTAAAAATCGGTCAAGAGGTTCAGAAGTTATAAATTTTTGAAAAAAGACATTTTTGAAAAAAAATGATTTTTTGGACCACCCTAACACGGAAATGGTCACCCTAATGGCGCAATAAAAAAATACGAG